CCCCCCCCCCCGCCATTAGGGGCGCGTCCCTCTTATGAAAATGGCTTTGACTGAGCGCGTAAAGGAGACTCTGGGTCTAGTGGTTGCATTACTCTGGCCATAGCTAAAAACCAGGCCACTAATCCTGTTCGCTCTCAAATGCAGGCAGGCAGACGGGAGAGCGGGGAGAAAGGCGCCCACGGGCTCAGAGGAGGTGGGCTGGGGACACGCAGCTCGACTGTGCGAATCCCCTGAGAGCAAGCCCAGCGGACAGACCCAGTCCGCGGCGGGGAGGGACTTCCCCAGGCCACAGGGCCTGCAAACCCGACCACGGCGCTGGGCCCACTCCCAGCCTTCCCCCTTCTGCTAACATTTAGCGCTTTTCCTCCAGCAAATCCCGCCACGTGCCCACCTCCAGCCACAGAATGGAGCGGGCCCAGGGCTATTGCCTCAGCCGGGCTGGGGGCCAGACCTGGGGGCTGACCACCGTGCTGCGGGGTCCTCGTACCACCACCAGCCTGGGGCTGCAAACAGGACCTCCCCCGAACTCATGTGCAGATGGGCTCAGTAGCCTGTGTCCCCAGGCCTTTTCCTGGCAACATGACCCCCTCCCCCCAAGCCAGAAAGCACCCCCTCCTGCACCAAACCTTCCTGTCTGCTTCTTCACCCTCCTGTCCCCAGCCCAATGACATCAGCTCCAGAGCCAGGGCTCCTGCCGAGACCCCTCCAGGGAGCTGGCCCAGCTCATGTCCCCTTGCCAGGGACGGCACCTCTTCCTCTGCCCCTTTGTCAGAGGCTCTGGCTCCTCCGGACTTTTTCCTGGGCCGTGAGCATGAGCCCCGTGTAGTCCCATAAGGCCTCATGTGCAAAGGGGCCCCATGCTTGGTTTAATGCTGCCTTGAAATTCTAAATAACTTTCCAACAAGGGCCCTTCGTTTCCATCTTGCACTAAGCCCACGAATTACGGAGCTGGTCCCGGGACACCAGTCACTCTCTCGCCCTTACCCAGACCGGTCGGAGGTTCCCTGGCCAGGGCGTGGTCCAACGTTAGAGAGGAGGGTCACTGGCGACCTCAGGCTCTGATGTCATGTCCTTCAAAGTTATTTGGCACCTACTACGTGCCACGCACTGCTTCCCACCATTTACCCCACTTATACTCTCATCTTTCTAGGCCCTTGCTAATCCCCATGCGGATAAAGAAGAAATCGGGGCTCAGAGAGTAACGCCCAAGGCACACAACTGTTAAGGGACGAGATCTGTAACGTCTCCCTGAGACATTTCCTGCTTCAACTATTTTCTAAAGAAAATGAATTTTTTTTTTTTAAATATATCTTTATTGATTTCAGAGAGAGGAAAGGGGAAGGAGAGAGAGAGACAGAAACATCAATGATGAAAGAGTCATCGATCGAGCCCGCAACGCGGGCATGTGCCCTGACCGGGAATCGAACCCTGATCGCCTGGATCCTAGGTCGATGCTCAACCGCTGAGCCACGCCCAGCCGGGCAGGAAAATGAATTTTAAATTGGTTGAAAATGATATGGAAAGATTTTTATTTCCAAGATGTTAATCTTTAAGAGAACGACCCCTAAATGAATTGCTTCCCTTTGGGACACAAAGTAATGGAATAAAATGTGCAGTGGGCAGGAATCGTCTTTTCCAAAATCTATACAGATATTGAAGAGAGGGGAGGGCAGAGGAGGGCAGGGGAGAAGCTCTTCCAACTCTGAAAATGAGGGACGGCAGAGGCTGTGAGCTAATGAGTTACCCAGGCTCCGCGGAGGGCTAACGAACTCACGCGGTTGGCGGAGCTGAATTCCCAGGTGGGGAAACCGCCTTCGCTCCACACACTTTCCTGCCATCTTCCCACTTCGGAGCCGCCCTGTGGCGCAGGCCCCCCAGCCGGGGTGGCGAGTATTTGCTAAAGCTCCTGTTTGCAGTTAAGTCTAGCCTCTTGCTCACCATGTCACGGAGCTGCAGTTTTTCAAAACTGAAGTTCCTGGCAACAACTCTTGGAGGATTTTTTTTTTTTTCACTTAGATTTTTAAAAGATGTCAACCTCATGGCCCCAGGAATACTTACTGGGCTCCTCTGTAGGTGGGATTTCGTGCCAACCACCCAATGGCTGCGGACACCCCCCTCTCATAGATGGGGAACTAAAACCCGGGGAGACACAGTGACTGGCCCGGGCCTACGCGGATCAAACAGAACCAGGGCCCTCCCCAGAATCAGCACAAAAGTCTGTGTTTCCAAAGCCCCCGGGGGAACCCAGGGAGCCCTAAGAAGCTGCGCCCGACTGGGCCCAGATGGAGGAAACTCCCTGTGTCTCCTGGGGTAAAAATAGACTCCTTTGGTGGTGACAAACCATAGATTCTGTGTCAACAGAACCCATTTGTTCACTGCTCTCCTTTCAAATGTGGAACAAATCGGCTGCCTGAGACCCCCGGGCTGGGCGGGACGGAGCTGCTTTGTGTCCCAGGCTCCGTCCAAAGATAGCAGGTTTAATAATGGAGCTTCAGCGCTGTTTTATTCTGTAGTCTGCATTAGTGGCCCCTCTTTTTTCACTCTGCCTCCTTCTCATAAGGACCCGAGGTAACCTTGGCCTTTCAGGGGCTTCTACTCGCCGTTTAAAAAGATGCCCCAGATGACAGAGGTCGCTTTGCCCGGCGCTCGGCTCCACCTTGCGCTCGGTCATAGCCCAGAGACACCCGCAGGCTGTTCTGCAATCCTGTGGGCCTGCTTTTCATGAAGCCCACTCAAAAGCAGCCCTGTCTTCCACGCCTGGAATCTTCCTTAAGGACACGGCGCACACGAGGAAGCAATTTTGAAGCCGAGGCTTAAACCGTCCCGAGCTCCCATTGTGAAGTCGTTTGCTCTCCTCCGAGAACTGGCTTTGAAACGCGGCTGGTCCTCGCGTCAAATGCTAGGACTTCTGTTAACTCCTCACAGTCCCCACTAAAGG